GACTTTGTAACCCGCCAGTTGCCAGTTTACGCAATTGTATTTTGGCCCCCCGGGTTGCCAGTTGGTGGAAAACACAGCGTATTTCATTTCAGTCATGGAAACTGCCAAACGAAAGGGATCAGTTCCTGCTGGTGTCGTCAATCTGGCAACCTGCGTATGCGTCAAGTCTGAGGAGGAGGGGCCGGGTGAAAAAACCCTCTCCAATATTTTGAATTTGGACTGTAATACCTAGTTCAACCAGGTGTCAATCCTACATACAGCGCCTTTAAAGGGATAATTCACCCAAAAATGAAAATTCTGTCATTAATTACTCACCCTCATGTCGTTCCAAACCCGTAAGACCTCCGTTCATCTTCGGAACACAAATTAAGATATTTTTGATTAATTCTGAGAGCTTTCTGACCCTCCCATAGACAGCAATGTAATTACCACGATCAAGGTCCAGAATCGTAGTAAGGACATCGTTAAAATAATCCATGTGACATCAGGGGTTCAATCATAATTTTACGAAGCTACGGGAATACTTTTTGTATGCAAAGAAAATAAAAACAATGACTTTATTCACCCTGGCGCCATTTTGGAGAGTTACACATTCGTAAACAATGTATACTGTTCTGTGTCAGCTCCGCCATGCACTGACACAGAACAGCATATGTTGTTTATGTTCAGTGGATACTCTCCAAAATGGAGCCAGGGTGACACGGAGGAGACATATTGTTGAATAAAGTCATTGTTTTATTTTCTTTGCGCACAAAAAGTAATCTCGTAGCTTCGTAAAATTACAGTTGAACCACAGATGTCACATGGATTATTCGAACGATGTCCTTGCTATGTTTCTGGAACTTGATCATGGTAATTACATTGCTGTCTATGGGAGGGTCAGAGAGCTCTCAGAATTCATAAAAAATATCTTAATTTGTGTTCCGAAGATGAATGTATGTCTTACGGGTTTGGAACAACCTGAGGGTGAGTAATTAATGACAGGATTTTCATTTTTGGGTGAACTATCCCTTTAAAGTGGTTCCCCTGGGATTAAGAGCAAAATAACCACTTTTAGTGCTATTTAGCACCATTTTTTTTTACTACCACCACTAATAATAATAATAATATAATATGTCTAGAGCAGCAAATCAGCATATTAGCATGATTCACATATGAAGGATCAACCGTTTGATGCCGAAGACTGGAGTAATGATGCTGAAAATTCAGCTTTGCCAACACTTGAATAAATGACACTAGAAAAATATATATTTTTTTATTGTACTACAATTTCAGAATGTAATGTTTTTACTGTATTTTGTTAAATAGCTGTAGTGCAGGGTTGCCAGGTTTTCGCAACAAAACCCGCCCAGTTGTTACTCAAAACTAGCCCAATTGCGTTTCGAGGGGTTTCCCCAGTAAAAAAAGAAAAATCACGTTCCAGGAGGTAAAATACTAGTTTTTCGGTAGGGTTCCTCTGGTAAAATTCGCATGCGTTTCTGGAGTCGCTTCAACCCACGGACATGAAAAACAACCCACGTCAACAGTGTTAAAGTAGCCCAATACCGCGGAAAACACGCGGACTTAAAAAGTAAAAAAACTAAAAACTTACCAACCCTAAATATTTGAAAGGCAGTGTATATAAATATATAATTGTTTGGAAATATATCTTTCTCTTGGAAGTCCGTCGATTTTATTACTATTGCTCAGTCTTAGAGTAGGCATGTAAATAACTGTGGACACGTAAATTGGAAACACTTCAGGAGTTTCGAAGTCATCATCTGATTGGTTGAATTCTACAGGATTTCTGGGATACGTGTGCGCAGCGTTCTTTAACGTTCCACCTGGAAAGATGCAATGGCACCAAACCTCCTCATGGAAGAAGAAAGCCATCATGTTTACAACTGTGACAATGAGCGCTTATCAGGATCAACTAAACACTAGATTTTCAAAAGTATGTGAAATATGTTAACTTTTGCGGCATAGACTCTTTAAAAGTATCGATTTGGCACCGGTATCGAAAAAAACCCAAACGATACCCAACCCTAGTTAAAGGAATATTACAGGTTAAATACAAGTTAACTCTTGTCAGCACCGACATGTAGGGCTTGAACAACAACTTGTACATGACTAATTATCTAGGACTAAATCCATTAAAAAAATAACTGAAATAAAATAAAACATAAAAAAATCTTGATGTACTAAAATAGCTAAAATTAATAATAAATACAAATATTACAAATACAACTTAAAAACTATATAATGAATTAAACAAAATTAAATAAAAATAACAAAAAAACAAACAACAAAATTACTAAAACTTTACCTAAAATTTATTCAAATTATTAATAGTATATACTAATAAAAGTTTTCAATAAAAACTGATCATATTATCTAAATTATACTAAAATTACAATTGATGGGTCTATGTTTACCTTATGTACATTTTTATATTCATGTCATTCCAAAAATATTAGGCCGCTAATGATTATTCTACATAACTTGTTGACCAGCACAACTCGGCTGATATACGGTCTAACTAGTCAACTAATACCGCATCTGATAACATACTGTGTCTGTACTTGCAATAAAAGCCTATAGGGTAGCCAAAGACTTCTGTTGTGATTGCATTTCTATTGACATGTTTTTTAGTTTGTTTTCACAAAGTCTAAATTATTTTCTCTGGTAATCAACAGCATGCCACAGATTCTGTAAAGAAAGATTAACTTCTATTTAACCTTAAAATACTGCTTTAAATTCAGTAATAACCTGAGGAGAGGTTAAGAAAAGAAAAATGTTTCACTTCCAGCGACTGTTTTACAGTGTTTTTTTGTCTTTTTGCCTTGAGAAATAAAAAAATAAAACACACACCAGTATAAAAGGATCAAGTGAGTTTCAGATCATTTGTAATTTCCAAGGAGACCATCTACATTCCTGGCAAGTAGCGCAATGATAAGTAGACCAAGGTCATTTGCGTAATTTTCCTTAAAAATGTCCTCTCAGCCTCTGCTCCATCTCTCGCAATGTCCTACCATCTAATCTCTGCCAAGATCTGAGGAGCCCATTAGCTTGCTGTCGGAGGGGTCTGTAAGTAATCGTTTGCCATAGAGGAATGAAATTGACAAGTGCTTAAGCCTTGAGCACAGACAGAACACAATTCCCCAGCACATTTCCGATAGATATAATCAGACGAGTGATAGAAAGTCACATCCTCGGCCCATCTTAAGAATCTCTCCACCAAATGTTGCCCATCTCGGATGGAAAAAAACAAAACATTTTTTTTTATTCCTCCTTGCACCTCTTCTCTCAACCTCCTTCAATTTCTCTGACTTTTATGCTTTGATATCGCCTTCCTTCATCAACTTCTCTCTCTGTCTCTCTATAGACCTTTATATACTGTGTGTGTGTGTGTGTGTGTGTGTGTATACAGTGGGTACGGAAAGTATTCAGACCCCCTTAAATTTTTCACTCTTTGTAATATTGCAGCCATTTGCTAAAATCATTTAAGTTAATTTTTTTTCCTCATTAATGTACACACAGCACCCCATATTGACAGAAAAACACAGAGTTGTTGACATTTTTGCAGATTTATTAAAAAAGAAAAACTGAAATAAAACAGTGTGATTAGATCATGTCAGCATTGTGGCTCATATTTGAAGCAAAGTTTTGCCTGAATGGTGATTGAATTCACTGTTTTGGATCACTGCATTTAAACTGAGAATGCATGTACAGAATGACATGTTTGTTGTGTGATAGAGTAAACATTAATAGCTCGTGCAGTGGAAGCAGCCTCCCCCCGGGTCCTAAATCCGCTCAGTAAGGAGTTTTAATTCCATAGGGGGCACTGTTGGCCTACATCTAATAAAATGAAAGCAAAATACACAAATAATATTTAGATTGTGTTTCTGATTAAATAAAGCAGTAATTGATGACATAAAATCATGAGTATGTTTTGATTTAGATCAGAAGCTATAGCTTACATGAAAAAAAAAATCACAAACATGACACTTAAATTAAATAATTTTATATATACTGATTTATTCATTAATGTGTAATATGTTATATATTTTAAACAAATTATGAGCTCTAAAAGATTTTCAGAATTTTTACAACTCTTTTGTTCAGACCATTTACAAATGTTAAATCATAAAATAAAATGTTAAGGTTACCACTGCATCTTTCTGAAAAAATAAATGCAGTGATTAATATATAGTTTATTTATAATTATTTTCAAATCTTCAATGTACTGTCATTATAAAATAACTTTATTCTAACAAATAAGTTCAACTTAAGTTAAAACTAACTAAAATTTTAAATAATTATATATCACTATCAGCATCGGCTATCGGCCACAATTAATTGAAAATTATTGGCATATCAGATATCGGCAAAAATCCAATATCGTGCATCCCTTATATATATATTTATTAGGGGTGGAACGGTACACAGATGTCACGGTTCGGAATGTACCTTGGTTTGGGGGTCACAGTTCGATACGATTTCAGTACAACAGAAAAAAAAATCTACTATGCTCGGTTTCTTTTCATTTATTTTGAACAGACAGTAGTTCAAATAAAAAAAATGTCCACCTAGTTATTAAAATACTAAATATTATTACATTTTGTAACAACGCCCAGTTGTTCTATAGAACGTGGGGCTAACCGGAGCTAAGCTAGGCTACTAAACTTTTGCTAAACTAATTGCTAGCAGGGTGCTAGCATCTACACATTGAGACTTTTAATTTGGTTAGCTGAAAGTGCATCCGAGCATTTGCGTCCCATTCACCGCACGACCCTGAGTGTCTCTATGAATGGTAGCACAGACAGAACTAATCAGCAGTAGGCAGTACTGTCATCTTTCTCCTTTTATTCTGAACATAGCATAAGAACTTACACACTCAAGGCCATATCGCCAAGTCCCTCCCCTACACATCTCTCTCCATGACGGTGACAGCCACACTTTTTCATAACAGGGCAGCAAACCCACCCGAACTAACTTAAACATAAACACACATAACCTTGCTAACGCAAAAACCCAACCATCTTGCTTAATTAACACATAAATCAACTCTAAACAAATACCCATAATGCACCTGGCTGCTAGCGCTCACTGCCGGGTCATTACAATATATATATATAAAATCTGCAGTACAAATATACATACAAGGAATCAATTCTTGAAATGTATTTGATTTAGTTTACAGATAAAAGAGAAACAAGAGAAAAAAACATGCGACACGTAACTAGCCTATATACGCTGAGTTTCAGTTCATTTTTGTGACAGGCTTAATTTGTTCACAGAAAGGAAACTCAAATGACAGAAAGCAACATCCTATTTGTTTTCTTTATTTTACAAAAGCACAATGTTTCGTTTTCATTGTGAGTGTACACAAATAAAAGCAGACCTTTATACGGTGATGCATTATTAATAAGACAATAAGTGTTTAAAGTGGATTCTGCTGGTATTTTAAACAGTTGAAGTGATCGCGCCGGCGCACGCGCGCACACACACACACACACACACACACACACACACACAACACATCAGTTCCAGCATTGCTAACTTGACAGCGCAGTTGGCACTTTATCAAAATAAAATACAGTGAACCAAACATCAGCGCGCCCGCCTCTGTGTCATGCGACTGAAGTACAAAGCCTATAATTTACATAACAAATAATAGTTTATCATTCAGATATGTTACATCACAAATATGGAAATATTATGGAATATTTGGATTTGTGCCGAATGAGAGAGGTAGGATACACGAGCACAAAGCTCCATTTCGCAAATAGTTGAGTGCACAAGCCTTTAAACTAAAGTATACTACTTTGTCAGTCTGTGAGAGACACATTCAGAATCAGCACATGGTCACTGTCTAGTGGGCTTTGTTTCAAGTGCGCAACTCATGGCATTCGATGTTCTTCTGCTGGTGGCCCGTTATCAAACAGCGTTGCATTGCTGCGGGTGCCCCCATCTGGATTGGGAGTGAATTGCCTGTATTCGTTGTACGGCCTCATGCACCGAACCGAGATGTCCGTACCGTGACGGCTCGGTACGAAATACATGTATCGTTCCACCCCTAATATCAGGGTGCGAACTACAGGGGAGCTAGGGGGAGCTCGGCTCCCCTTAATAAGATATGGGCTCCCCTGAATACGGGATTTGTGAAAAAATATTTACAATGTATTATTTTGACGTGGAATTTCAGTTTTGTGTAATGTGATCATCGTGGATTATTATTTGTAAAAGTGCAAAAATATCATTCATGCATGACGGCAATTTAAACCTAATTCACTTCAATAAAGATAACTATACATGCTATTCTTGTCATGAGTATCAAGGTGTGGGGGCGCTGCGGTGCAAATTCCACTCATGTTTAGTACATGTTAACTCAAAGATTCGTAGAAAAAATATAAACGCTGGACTCTGTGGTCGATTCTGTGTTAAGGTAAGGCATGTTATTCCCAATTATGTGTTGTGGCTGGGTTGTTATAGGTCTGCGATGTCTTAGGCCTAATTGAACGGAGGAATTATGGTATTCTTCTGTAGCCTGACAACGAGTAACTTTAACCGTTGGTCATGTGAACGCAAAGACAGCCGGATGCTTTGTTTATAGACTATTTGTGGGTGGCTGTTTGTTGTTTCACCTATCAATTAGTGTCGATAAAGTATAATAGGGTAAATCCTGTATAGTGATTTATCCTATATAGTGCTTGCATAAAGCAAGTAGTGCATACACTTGTAGCTGTTATGTATCTTTTGCAATTAATTTTTATTCATTTGTAATTGTAGGGAATTAATTATTATTAATTCATTGAGGTTTTGAAAGGACTCGAATCTGAAAAGTCGAGGTCCACCTGATTAAACTGAATTTTAATTTAAATGGTTTACACCCTATCAGCTACTCGGCCAGCGAGAAGATGTCAGTGTATATTACCAATTGAATATGTATTTTATGTTCTCCCTGGCCATGGGTTAACACTATTATGATAATTTGTCAGCTCTTAGAGAGGTAACGCTGATCTTGGCAAAGTTTTAACCTTGAAATTATATGACACCAGACGATGATTATTTATAAACGAAACATGAATTTTATTGGCTATTCTAGTGGATTATTATGTGTAAAAGTGCAAAAATATCATTCATTCATTCATGCATGACGGCGATTTGAACCTAATTCACTTCAATAAAGATAACTATACATGCTATTCTTGTCATGAGCATCAAGGTGTGGGGGCACTGCGGTGCAAATTCCACTCATGTTTAGTACATGTTAATTCAAAGATTCGTAGAAAAAATATAAAAGCTGGACTCTGTGGTCGATTCTGTGTTAAGGTAAGGCATGTTATTCGCAATTATGTGTTGTGGCTGGGTTATTATAGGTCTGCGATGTCTTAGGCCTAATTGAACGGAGGAATTATGGTATTCTTCTGTAGCCTGACGACGAGTAACTTTAACCGTTGGTCATGTAAACGCAAAGACAGCCGATTGCTTTGTTTATAGACTATTTGTGGGTGGCTGTTTTTTGTTTCACCTATCAATTAGTGTCGATAAAGTATAATAGGGTAAATCCTGTATAGTGATTTATCCTATATAGTGCTTGCATAAAGCAAGTAGTGCATACACTTGTAGCTGTTATGTATCTTTTGCAATTAATTTTTATTCATTTGTAATTGTAGGGAATTCATTATTATTAATTCATTCAGGTTTTGAAAGGACTCGAATCTGAAAACTCGAGGTCCACCTGATTAAACAGAATTTTAATTTAAATGGTTTACACCCTATCAGCTACTCGGCCAGCGAGAAGATGTCAGTGTATATTACCAATTGAATATGCATTTTATGTTCTCCCTGGCCATGGGTTAACACAATTTTTATAATTTGTCAGCTCTTAGAGAGGTAACGTTGATCTTGGCAAAGTTTTAACCTTGAAATTATATGACACCAGATGATGATTATTTATAAATGAAACATGAATTTTATTGGCTATTCTAGATTACATAAAACCTAAACTAAAACACACATACACACACATACAGTTTCAGATGACTGAATTCTATGAAGCTTTCAAGTTCTAACTCGTTTTATGAGTGATTTAAATTCACCTTAGAGAATTTACCAAGCAGAGAATTTTAGTTTAATTTTACTGCTTAAATTAGCTCAACACCAGTTCAGCAGATTTGAAGAGTTTGTTCGTTACTTGCATTCTTTTGGTTGACAGCTGACAAGCTGAGGTGATTCCGTTGCTGATGCGGGCTTCCTGGATGTCTGTTGAGGGAACCCCGTTGCTGATTGGTCGCTGACGTTCTTTTGGGAAACCCCTCATTGGATTGGTTGGTTGCCGGTCTACGAAGAGCTTCAGCAGTCCTGCTAAAAGCCTGAGTTTGCAAGACTTTGAAGATCGTGTTTCTCTGAAGTGTTTGAGTTCTTAGATGGTCTCGCTGGTGCGATGGTACGGCGTGGGGCGCTTTGTCGCGCTCACCAAGGTGAAAGCCAAAGTTCTTTAGAGTGAGAGAGCGAGCCCAAGCATAAGACGGCGCGAAAGGGCTTTGTGTCCAATTTTAAGCAGGCTGACTTTTGTTCAGCCCACAGGTCGCTGTCCAATCAGATGGTGGCTTAGCCACGCCCCATACTGTTCCTTATCATGCATGAATCGCATGCTGTTTGTGGAGAGTATTTCTGCAAGTTTTAAATATCTTCTGATAAAAGTATTATCACCAGAGAATGATACAAAATATAAACTTTTCACTAACACCAATGTTCGGCGAATAAGACAAGCTCTCATTCGAGCTCAAACAACAGGTATTTTGCATACACAGTAATCGTAATCACTAAACGAAAAGTTATAAGGCCAAGATTGAGATATCATGGTTTCGATAAACACATCAAATATATAGATACGGCATAACACATACAGTGGATACATTTTCACTACTTATACGTTTTTAAACAATTTGTCTTTTAAAATAGTCATGCAAGGTTCTGTTTCTTTGTCTGTGACACAAGAAAGTAAGGGTTTCAGTCATGCAGGAAGCAGGTGGTTAAACATGTGATAGTCATGTGGCGTCACGCTGTATATCCCGTGCTTGCCTGAGGGCATCAGTTAATTTACTCATCCTTTTCCTGTTCTGGACATAATGGTTCCATCCATTGGTGGTCACAAGACATAGCGGGTTTCTATCGGTTGTGAATGAACTCTTTCAGTCCTTGATACCAAGAAAGCTTTGTTGTCTCCTGATTGAATTAGTTTCGATCTCATGAGTAGTTGAGTTTAGTAAGAATATGGGACTCATGTGCTGGGTGATTTAGCAAACCTTGTGATGGCTGACATCGGTGTCAGTTCATATTTAGAAATCCCTACACTTTGTAAGTCATTGTAAGCCCTCTTTTGAGGCACGTGCAAGGGCATGAAAAAAAAAACAAGTGGGCTCCCCCAAAGTCCACGTTATAGTTCGAACACTGCCTAATATATGTATATATGTGTGTGTGTGTGTTCTGATTCAAGCTTTTGAGTTTGTGAGTCTTTCTGAACGATTAAAAGGACTGGCTCAAAAGAGTCATTTGTTTGTGAATTGGCTACACTGGTTCTGCTGTATGTTTTTGTTACAGCAAACGACTCAAAAGAGTCTGTCATTAATGAATCAGATTTCACCGATTGTGCTCTATGTTGTTGATTCGCTAAAAAGAACTGAATAAAAAAGTCATTTGTTTCTGAACTGCACTTCACTTATTGCACTGCATGTTATCGACTCATTTAAAATAACTGGTTCATAAGAATTATTTGTTTGTGAATCGGACAATAGTAGTCTTACTGTATGTTGTTTAATGCCCTTTTTATCTGCACTAATAAGATTAACTAATCATGGTATAGTTTATCATTAACTATTTGCATTTTTTATTTAAATAATCATATTTTCAAAACACATTTCATTCAAATTGCTTAGAACCAGCATAAATCTGTCAATATGAAAATGGTTAAAATATGGCTAACTGTGGAACAAGCAATATTTAATTAGTTAAAACTTAAGAGCTAAATATATAAACCTGGTTATTGTGCATTTTAAAATGCATTCAGTTTATTTAAACACATTT